TGAGCATACGCATACTTCTGTATCTATTTGCACGTCTAGCTTTCTGTAAATGTAATAAAAATCATTGCCTCATAGTGATACCTCCAATTCCAATAGACCACTACAAGGTTTATTCTAAACTTACTCTTTATTTGTGGCTCCTTTCTCAGACAATGATAAAACTGGCTCTGATAGCCGTAAGTATAGTCACTTATAGTCATTGGTCAATACTAGAATTTACAGAAAATGAGTTCCCATATCCCTGTAAGTACATTTGTGTATGGCTCGTCTTACCTGTAGTTTCAGTGTATATAGTGAAAATACTGTTTTTCAAAGTAACTGAGGTTAGTTAGCTCCTTTTTCTCCTTCCGTTTCTGTGTGGTTGCTATTTATTAGCTCTTATGTAGTTAGGTTTATATGTGTGTTTGTTTTCTCTGCTGGTTACCAACTTATTGCCCTTTATCTCCAAATTCAAATTCACTCTTCATTGTTCATTGTCTACTTTGCAATAATAGAGCTGGAACCCTTTTTTTGTTTTGTTTTGTTAATCCTCATCTGAGGATATTTTCCACTGATTTTTAGGGAGAGTGGAAGAGAGAGGGAAAGACAGAGAGAAACATCCATGTGAGAGAAACACATTGATTGGTTGCCTCCTGCATGAACCCTGACCAGGGCCCTGGGCCAGGTAGGAGCCTGCAACTGAGGTACATGCCCTTGACCGGAATCGAACCTGGGACCCTTTGATCTGCAGGCTGACGCTCTATCCACTGAGCCAAACCCGTTAGGGCTAGGGCTAGAACCTTTAAGCATTTCTCCTCTGTAGCAAGCATGATGTTATGATTTGTAAGTGAAGGGCCCTGGAGAGACTACAGGAGAGGGGGCCTTCTCTTCCTGATTCTAGAGTGCTGCTGTTTATGTCCTCCCTCTACCATAGGGCTGCCAGTAGTGTGTGGGAAAACCCGGGGCTGCTCAGCCTTAGCTGTTTGTCCAGACCATCTAGTCTGTTAGTGAGCTCACAGCCTGGCCCCAGGGACCAACTGACTGTGGCCCTGCAACATGGTATCACACACTCTAGGCCTCTTGCTGCTCTGCTGGGGGGCAGGCTTCCAAAGTCCCAATTCCTTTTGTGTGCCTGTCTGCAGGCTTGTCTGCTTGTACCCCAGGGGAGTGCTTTTGGCTTGCTGGCCCTGGCTGGTAGTCCTCCCTGCCAGCCTCCAGCCTGCCTGCGCCGCAGAGGATATTTCCTGCTTGTCTGGGGAATATGGGGCAGCTCTGGCCGAGGCAACCCACTGATTTTTAACATTCACTGACTGTCTCTACCTACTACCTCCCCTTCAATGAGGCTGAATGTCATTCCTGGCGAGGGGCCCCTTCCAAGTTTCTTCATTCTTCAGGCTTTCTCTCTTTCTGCCCTAGAGTATTCTTTAGAGTTCTCTTTTACCTTTACAGTTATTGATATTCATTTATATTTTGCTTTTTTTTTTCTTTCACGTAACAATATATCCTAGTAAGCATACCACATCAGTTCACAGAAATCTGAATCATTTTTTTACAGCTGTATTGTACTCCATTGTCTGGATGAATTATAGTTTATTCAGCATTTTTAAAAGTATGCATACAGTCATGCATCACTTAATGAGGATGATACATTCTGAGAAATACACCTTAGGCAGTTTCATCATTGTGTGAACATTGCCGAGTGCACTTACACAAACACCCAGGCTACATGGTATGTTGCTCCCAGGCGAAAACCTGTGCAGCTTGGTACTGGACTGAACACTGTAGGCAATTACTGTAGGCAGTTATAACACAATAGTAAGTATTTGTGTATCCAAACATATATAAACAGAAAAGGTACAGTAAGATGTGGTTTAAAAGATAAAAAGTGGCGCACCTGTAGAGGGCACTTACCATGAATGGAGCTTCCAGGACTGAGAGTGACTCTGGGTGAGCCAGTGAGTGTGAGTGAGTGGTGAGTGAATGTGAAGGCCTGGGACAGACTGCACACCGCTGTAGACTTTAGAAGCACGGTACACTCCGCCTACACTAAATGTATAGAAAATGTCTTTCTTCACTCACTGTAGCTTTTTTACTTCCTAAACTTTTTAATTTTTAAAAGCTTTTCAACTCTTTGTAATACCTACTTAGCTTAAAAGAAAAACACATTATTGTACAGCTGTACAAAAATATTTTCTTTCTCTGTATTCTTATTCTATAAGCTTTTATTCTGCTTTTACTTTTTTTAGTTTTTTTTTTTTAAAAATTTAATCTTTATTGTTCAGATTATTACAGTTGTTCCTCTTTCCCCCCCCCCCCCCCCCCCCCGATAGCTCCCCTCCACCTGGTTCCCACCCCACCCTCTGCCTTTACCCCCCCCCACTTGTCCTCATCCATAGGTGTACGATTTTTGTCCAGTCTCTTCCCGCACCCCCCACACCCCTTTCCCCCTGAGAATTGTCAGTCCACTCCCTTTCTATGCCCCTGATTCTATTATATTCACCAGTTTATTCTGTTCATCAGATTATTTATTCACTTAATTTTTAGATTCACTTGTTGATAGATATGTATTTGTTGTTCATAATTTTTATCTTTACCTTTTTCTTCTTCTTCCTCTTTTTAAAGGATACCTTTCAGCATTTCATATAATACTGGTTTGGTGGTGATGAACTCCTTTAGCTTTTTCTTATCTGTGAAGCTCTTTATCTGACTTCAATTCTGAATGATAGCTTTGCTGGGTAAAGTAACCTTGGTTGTAGGTTCTTGCTATTCAGCACTTTGAATATTTCTTGCCACTCCCTTCTGGTCTGCAAAGTTTCCGTTAAGAAATCAGCTTACAATCTTATGGGTACTCCCTTATAGATAACTGACTGTTTTTCTCTTGCTGCTTTTAAGATTCTCTTTGCTTTTGCTCTTGGCATTTTAATTATAATGTGTCTTGGTGTGGTCCTCTTTGGATTCCTTTTGTTTGGGGTTCTCTGTGCTTCTTGGACTTGTAAGTCTATTTCTTTCACCAGGAAGGGGAAGTTTTCTGTCATTATTTCTTCAAATAGGTTTTCAATATCTTGCTCTCTCTCTCTGTTCTTCTGGCACCCCCATAATTTGGATGTTGGTATGCTTGAAGTTGTCCCAGAGCCTCCTTACACTATCTTCATATTTTTGGATTCTTTTTTCTTTTTGTTTTTCCGGTTGGGTGTTTTTTGCTTCTTTGTATTTCAAATCTTTGACTTGATTCTTGTGATCCTCTAGTCTGCTGTTGGATCTCTGCATAATATTCTTTATTTCAGTCAGTGTATGCTTAATTTCTAGTTGGTCCTTTTTCATACTCCTGAGGGCCTCACTAGATTTATTGGTGGTTTCTAGAAAATTCTTGAAAAACCTTATAACCGTGGTTTTGAACTCTATATCCAGTAGTTTGCTTTCCTCCATTTCTGTCATTTGTGACCTGTTTCTTTGTCTCCGCATTTTTATGCTTCCCTGTGTTGATAGAGTGGCTTTCTGTGCTAGGTGTCCTATAGGGCCCAGTGGCTCAGCCTCCCCAATTACTGAGGTGGACACACTTGGTGCACCCCTTTGTGGGCTTTGTGAACAGTCTTGTTGAGGTTAAGCCTTTATTGTTATTGGTATCACTGGGAGGAATTGACCTCCAGGCCAATTGTCTGAGAATCAGCTGTGTCTACGGTGGGAGAACTTCTGTGCTGGAGACACCCTTATGGGGAGACTTGCTTCAGTGGGGCTTTGGTGCTCACTGAGTCTGCCCCCTGAGTGTGTCCCTTATGGATCTGAGGAGTTGTAATCTGGATGGTCCCACTCTGATCACTGGGTACACTGGCTCTTGGATCTCTAAGGAGGTGCTAATTTAGCCAGCAGGAGCTACAGAGAGATCTGCAGATTCCTCTTATTTGTTTGGGGTTTGGAGGTGCTCAGATGAGGCCCAGCTGTGAAGCAATTCAAGCTGTTGTGGGGCCTTAGGCCTTCTTTTGGATGTTCTGGGTCTCTCTGACCCAGCTGCAGTTTGTTTGGTAATTTTCAGATTGCAAAGGGCCAGGCCTTTCATATGCAAAAGCCTCTCGGCACAGCTTGGGTGGGGTGGGGTCTCAGGGAATCAACAGGGTGGAGCAAACATCTATGGATGATCCTCAGCCCTGCCCTAAGAGGCCCTGAATCTCAGTGTCCAGCAGTAATCGCTGCAAGCACCTCTGAGAGAAAGCCGCCCTCGAGTTCCCCCCGATGCCAGACAGTCCAGTTTCTCCCCGTATAAATCTGGGTCCCCAGAGACTCGTCCAGAACTGGAGTTCAGAGCAGTTGGGAGCTTGTGTCTCCCTCCCGATTTAAAAAGACAACCGCATCCTCACGCACCTCCGTACCTCTGCACTTTACTTCCGCACCTCCTCTGAGTCTCAGTGTGCTTTTCTCTTTTCTTCTAGTTGTAGAATTTCCACTCAGCCAGCCTTCCTGTGGTTCTGGATGATGTCCGTTTTGTCTTTTAGTTGTATTTTTGAAGTGGTTGTGCGAGGCAGCAATTTCCGGTGTTTACCTATGCCGCCATCTTGGTTTCTCCTTTTTCACTTTTTAAGCTCTCTTGGTAAGAGATAAGAAGCAGATGCATTAGCTTAGGCCTACCCAGGGTCTGGGTCCTCGCCAGCACTGTCTTCTGCCTCCACGTCTTCAGGGCCAACAGCAGGCAGGGGGCTGCATCTGCTCTGTGACAAGGCTGTCTCCTGGAGGACCTCCGGAGGGCTTCCTGGGGTTCTTCCTGAAGAGGTGTTGTCAGAACTGTGCCCACGGTGCTTTGCTTGGTTTGTTTCTTTTTTATTTTTTTCATCATAGATTTGCTTGTTTGCACCATGAATATTCCTCTCTATTAATGAAAACCTTTCAGTGTTGAGGGGGTCTATGTTTTCAGTCTTTTTAAGGTGCTTGTAGAGGTCCTCAAAAGCTTCTGTTAAACCCTTCACTGAATTTTCTTGAAGTTGCTTATTTTCCTTCTCCTCCCCTTTTCCTTTCTCTTGCTTCTTTTTCAGCTGTGTGTTCCTGTTCCAGTTCCAACAACTCCTCATTAGTCAGTTCCTCAAGAGCCACGTCTAGTTGCTCCTCAATTCCACCCTCATCAACACCCAGATGGAAGTTGTTTGCCATCTTAACCACAGCCTTGTAGCATTTTGCAACCTCCTCATCCTTGGAAAATCCTTTGAAGTCATGGATGAACCTCTTGAGTGTTCCAGATGCCATCATAAACTTCTCGGTGACATCATCGTGAAAGGTGTTTGGTGCGGTCACGGATGTTGTATTCCTTTCAGAATTGTGTCAGGGTTTTCTCAGTTACAGCAAAGCCTGGACAAAGGTTCTACTCAGGCAGTAGGAGTTAAAAGCTGCTATAACTCCTTGATCCATTCATTGGTAAAATCAAAGAAGTGGTGTTTGGAAGGAGAAACACAGCTTTGGTATTGGCATGAAGAGCACCAATAAAAGGAGGATGTTTAGGAGCATTATCAACAATAAGCAAAATCTTGAAAGGTATGTTATTTCCCAAATGGTACTTCCCCATTTCTCTGACATAGCCATTCAGGAGGGCCTCTTGGAAGAGAAGCTGGATCATCCATGAGTTCTTTTTTTTTTTTTTTTTTTTTTTAAATCCTCACCGGAAGATATTTTTCCATTAGGATAGTTTTCCATTGATGTAAGAGAAACATATCGATTGGTTGTCTCCTGCATGTGCCCTGACCAGGGCCTGGGCTGGGAAAGAGCCCGCAACCGAAGTAGGTGCCCTTGACTGGAATTGAACCTGGGACCCTTTGGTCTGCAGTCTGACGCTCTATCCACTGAGCCAAACTGGTTAGGGCCATCCATGACTTTTTGTTCCTCCTGTAGGACACTGGCAGTGTGTGCTTATAGATATGTGAGAAGGCCCTGGGATTCTCATTGTGCTAGATCACAAAAGGTTTCAATCTGTAGCCTGCAATATTGTGCTCAAACAAGACTATTAGCCTGCCCTTAAATGCCTCAAAACCTGGCATTGACTTGGCCTCCTTGTGGATGAAAGTCCTCTTAGGCATCCGTTTCCAGAATAGAGTGTTTTCACCCATATTGAATATTGTCTCTAGCAAGATATTTTCTTCCACATCAGCTTATCAGGCCTTTCCAAAAATTCCTTAGCTGCCTTCACATCAACACTCGCAGACTCCCACTCACTTTCACATTATGCAATGCCTAACGATTCTTGAATTGTTTAAATCACCCAGAGCTAGTAAGTGCAACATTGTAGTTGCGTCCAGCCTTTCTTTCAACACTGCAAACAAACTTTTTGCTTTGGTCATGATCTTCATGGTGCTGAGAGGGATATGCTTCTGTGTCTGCTCTCCAATCTAGGTCATTAGAAGTTTCTCCATGTCTGATATCGACGCTTATTGAATTTTTGTTAGTTTTGTTACCTTCAGTGAAACAGATCTTTTAACAGCTTCCATCACTTTGTGCTTGTTCTTCAAGATCATACCTGTGGTGGAATGGGACATGTCTGCCTGGCAAGCAATAACCATCACTGACTTCCTACCTTCTTAGTCCTTAATCACTTTAAAAAATATATGTATTTTTATTGATTTCAGAGAGGGAGGGGGAGGGAGAGAAAGATAGAAACATCAATGATGAGAGGGAATCATTGATCAGCTGCCTTCTGCACATCCCCACTGGGGATGGAGCCTGCAACCCAGGCATGTGCCCTTGACCGGAATTGAAGCTGGGACCCTTCAGTCTGTAGGTTAACGCTCTAGCCACTAAACCAAACCAGCTAGAGCAGTCCTTAATCACTTTTAATTTTGTTTCCAGTTCAGTCACTGGATGTGGCCTCTTACTAGCAACATTAGCAGTGGATTTTGTAGGCTTAGGGGCCATGATGAACAAAACTCCACAAAATCAAGTCAAATACAAGAGAAAGTGATGCAATCAAGAGACAATGTAAACATGAGGTATATGAGGCTGCTGCCAGCATAGCATGGCATGCTATTTTACAACAACCTTTTTTATAAGTAGAAAGAGCACACTCTAAAATAATGACAAAAGTATAACATAGTAAATACATATGCCAGTAGCATACTCATTTATTATCATTATCAAGTATTATATATTGTGTATAATTGCATGTGCTGCACTAGGACTGGCAGCGCAGTAGGTTTGTTTGCACCAGCATCACCTCAGACACATGAGTAATGCATTGCACTACGACCTTACAATGGCTACAGTGTCACTAGGTGATAGGAATTCCTCAGCTCCATTATAATCTTAAGGGACCACCATCATATATGTGGTCCATTTTTTGACAGAAGCATCGAATGGCGCATGACTGCATTTCAGCCATTTCCAAATAATGTTGCAATGAATTGCCTCTGCATGTATAATTTTCTATTTTTGGAGATGTATCTTCAGGGTAGGTTCCTAGAAGTGGGATTGCTCAGTGGAGAGGTAAGTGCATGAATTGTTTCCTTCGTCATTGCCAAGTTCCCCTCTTAAAAGGCTGTGCCAAATTGTATCCCCACCAGCAATGCCTGAGAGCACCTGTTTTCCCCTAGCTTTGCCAACAGGATGTGTTGTCAAACGTTTAACATTTCTGCTTATCTGATGGGTGAGAAATAGTGTAGTTCTAACTTGCACTTCTTTTTTTGTTTGTTTGTTCTTTTTAATCGTCACCTGAAGATATTTTCCATTGATTTTTATAGGGAGAGTGGAAGAGAGGGAAAGACAGAGAGAAATATCGATGTGAGAGAAACATATTGATTGGTTGCCTCCTGCAGGAGCCCTTGTAACCTTGACCAGAATTGAACCCGGGACCCTTCAGTCTACAGGCTGACGCTCTATCCACTGAGCCAAACTGGCTAGGGTTCTAACTTGCACGTCTTAATTATGAGCTATTTGAATACGTTTTTGTATGTTAAATGCCATATATATGTTTTAAAATAAATTTTCTGTTTATGTTTTTTCCCCATTTTTCTGTTGATTTTGGTTATATCTCCCTCTTTAAGATTCTCTAAACTTTGAGGATGTTGGTCATTTGTCTGTGGTATAAGTTATAAACATTTCCCCAGTGTGTCAGTTGTCTTTTGACTCTGTGTATGGTTCTTTTGCCACACAAGTGTTTTTATAATTTCATGGAGCCACATTTATTGATCTTTTTTTTTTTTCTGAATTGTGAGTCATCTTAGAAAGACTTTCCCTCTAACATGGTTAAAGAGGAATTCACCCATGTTTTCTTCTAGTACTTGTATATTTTAAATGTTTCTATTCAGATTCCCAATCCACCTCAAGTTTATTGTCTTTTTCCAGTAGCTACCTGTTTTTCCCATCTTTGCCCCAGCAATTTGAGATGTCCCCTTTGTCACACATTACATTTCCATATGTACTTGGGTGTTTTTGATGGCTTTTTGCTCTATTCCATGGTCTGTTTTGGTTGCCAGTACCAGACTTTTTCAGATATGGTAGCTTTATAGTAGGCTTTGGGTTTAGAAGAGCTAGTTTACCCTCGTAGATGCTCTTTTTAATGGACTTCTGGCTATTCTTGTATGCATATTTTTCCATACGAATGTTACTAACACCTTGCCCTTGATATTTAATATGACTCAATTATATAATACCAAATTGAGGAAGCAGTTCAGGAGCCCAGAGGTACATTTGCATTAACAGTGAATAATTCATCCAATGGACATCATGGCAGAGACCTGGATCCTGGAAGAAGACTGGAGACTGGGATGAGGAAAGTCATGGAGGTAGGAGACAAACTCCAGCTAAGAACCAGATCGTGGGAGTCACGGGTGGTTAAAGCATCAAATCGGAAGGTCAGAAGCTGTGGCTAGCCCCAGAAGGACTCAGGAATCATGACCTTACACCCTGGTAGTGAAGAGGTTTGATGTGGTGTCAGCAAGTTTGATGTGGGATCCTGCCAGTTCTCAGTCGCAGGTGAAGTGAACTTGTAATATCCATTTGGTAGGAAAATTCTTAACTCTCTATTCAGTTAGCCAACAATGTGGCTTTAAAGGGCATTTATGCCTGACATATTTCTGGAGTAAGTTTTGTTCCTAGGAAATCTAAGTTCTTTTTTGCAGACTTTAATCATTGGAAACTAAAAGTTTAAAATGCATTTTAAACAGTCACTTTCCCTCCTCTACCCACACATTTACCAAAATAAGCAAGGCCACTCTGCAAGCCACTGTCTGATTTGCATAGTGGTGAGAGCTGATGCAATTTCTCACATTTGGGGCTATTTCAGTGTTGGTGGAGATGGCAAAGGGTTCCTTTCCTGAAATAGTCTTGAGAGTGGTACCCTTGAACGGGTGCTTTTCTAAAGCACAGCTACTATAAATTGAAAATATTTCAGGAAGTAAAATACTAATGATAAAATAAAAATTTTAAGTGGTGTCAGGTTTGATTTTTGCTGTAAGACAACATTACAGCCCGGAGTGGAAAGTTAGAACTTATTGTCTGGTCATGTCTCTGTTTCATTGAAGACTAAGTTTTATACAGCGAGTTTTAGGAGAGGGGAACTAGCCCAGTCAGTATGGCTCAGTGGTTCAGCATGGACCCATGAACCAGGAGGTCACGGTTGGATCCCCGGTCAGGGCACAGGCCTGAGTTGCAAGCTCCAACCCCGAGCAGGGGGTGTGCAGGAAACAGCTGGTTGATGATTCTCTCTCTTCATTGATGTTTCTATCTCTCTTTCTGAAATCAATAAAAACATATTTTTAAAAATGTAAGAGAGGGATCTAAAGTCCCTGCTTCCTCTACCACATTTAATCGGAATTTAATTTCAGAAATCTAACCTTATAACTTATTTGAAATTGTCTTTCATTTTGCACTTTTTTTGTGATGCTCACTCACTCATTCGTAATTGGTTTGTGTTTGTCACGTATGCTCTCCACAGAGAGACTATGTACTTAGGTTGCTCGAGTCACACGGTATTGTTTAAGAACACTTGGCGTTTGTGCCAGTAAAATGTTTCCAGCCATCTTGGTTCCTGTACTTGCTTCGATGTGCTTTTGTAGTTTCCCAAGAATGCAGCTGTCTGGGGAGTCAGACAGCAGGGGTCGACACTTAGCTCATGGAATAATTCACCCTTTTCCAGTGAACAGCACCAAACCGTGCATCACTGGGTTTCAGAATTCCAGGGGACTGTGATGAGCGTGTTAACTCAGCTCTCGGCCAGTGACAAGCGTGGTGAAATGGTTTGCGTTAGGCTTGGCTCTCTGGAAGTCCACACTGAGTCTTGCAGGGGGCCAGAAAAAAAGCAGGGCCAGTTTTATTGATGGGGTTGTTTTTTTTTGCTTGTTTTTAATTTTCATTTTCCTGGGTTGTTCATTCCAACCAGGAAAAGACCAGTTTACAGTTGGCCACATAGGTAGAGTTGAGGGTGGGAATTCAAATGAATTGGTGCCATGTATCTTTCTAATGTATTGTGATATTTTATGAGTTGTCATCCTGGGCACGGGTCTGTTTGTTAGGCAACCTCTAATGAGGAGAATCCTTCAACACCGTTTTCTTTGGAAGGCTGTGTCTTTGACCTTAGAAC